ATGGGGGATTTTTATGTTGAAACTCACCGCTTTTCACTAGTCCACCATTTTTCCCGGGTACCAATCGGGTTTATTAGAAACAACAGCTTAAATCTAAGTGACATCCACCCCCAACCAATAGAGGGCTCGTGGGACTTAGTGAAGTCCAGTTCACCCAGCATTCATTGCTGCCAGAAGCCTGTCGCAGACTCTGAAGTTGTCGATTTTATTTGTGTGGCCAAACAATGGGACTACTATAGCTCATTCACTTGAAATTGTTGATGTTTTTGTTGGTTGGGCAGCTACCATAAATTCCAAAATAAATATTACTTTTCTGATGTTCAGCATACTCTAAAAGTGATTTAACGCGGGGGGCAAGAGAGCATGTCCCTCAATCTTCATGTAAAGAGAATCACTCAAAGCATCATTAGCGGATTTCACGTTATTTTTGACATAGTTCGACTGCTGGTAAACTTCGTGCACATCCTGAATTATTCCAAAACGAGATTGACATCTAGGACGTTAACTTACTGTCGGTAACTCTCATGTTCAACTCTTTCGGCCATCACGCAACCGGCATCTGCTTAGGATGTAGCTCACGGAGAGGTGGGTGGAGCTACCCTTTCAGAATAAAATGCGAGTTGAACCTGTAAAGGAAGTCGACTGTCGAATGGCCAAAACATGAGGTTCTGGATTACGCCGTATCCATATTAGCATGCGGTTACTTATGTGTGATTACAATGAGTAGTGAACAGCAAGGTGGCGGTTGAAAAGGCTACTCAACACATGTCTCTCAGTTCACACCTCCAAGATCAATGAGCCACAAACTCCTATAATAAACCACCAGTCAACACGGGCAAGACTTTTGTCGGAGGACTGCTAAGAGATTGGCTGAAGGTTGAGAACCTGACGAGTAACTCTAAGCTGTAATGGATCACAGACGACTCTAGCTTATACACTTGGTCTGTTGGAGCAAATAAAATCAGTTTAGACTAGAGAGATAAGCAAAAAAGGACTCGAATATGGATGAACTAGTTGTAACCCGCTTTTACAACATTGTAGTTTGACCTAACGCCACCCTCCCGCGGGAAACAACTTCTGGCCATCGAGATAACTACCATACTCACCAGGTTCTCAGTACACAGAATGCTGTGGTCCATAGCGGGTTGGATCGCAGTGGGTCTGGCCAACATAGAGTTTGGAAATTATGAAGTACGTACGTACCACAACACGTAAGCAGCGTGCGACCATAACCAATTGAGAGCGTCTTGTGCAGTCATTTTCCTGATTTCATACAAAAATGTTGGTCAGGTCTTCGGATAAGGGAGCGCTGATGGCTTATTTTACATACGGGTGACATTCATTTCAAAGGTACTTGATGGAAAATTTATTCGGTCTTATCTGACTCCAGTAACAGTTTGGCTGTTAGATAACCCATGACAGAACGACATCCTTTTTTTGTCGATGGATAAAATATTGTCACAAGCACGACGCGTGGTCAAATTTTTTCTTTGTGAATCTCAAAAAGTGCATCTGGGTAAACGTTGAAGAAAAGCTGAACAAGTGCATCTATCAAGTAATAAGTTCGCATTCGGTGTGCGGGTGTAATATCAAGAAACGTACTGCGCCAGATTGCGTTTTAACCAGTGAAAGGAAAATTCACAGCCAGAAAATTTTCTCATGAGAAGCTGGTTGTCTCCAGTTGGACATTTCTATTGGACAAGCAAAGCAACCTTCAACTACTTAGAAACTGAACAACACGAAATCTACTACTCCACGTTTGGCGGCAGTCCTATCACTAGGAGCACTGCCAAAATCGATATCACTATCATCAACAACGCCAAAACGCACTGAAGACAGGAGATTTGTCACAAACGGTCCCTTATGGCCACACAGATACAAAAAGTCCACATCAAAATACTCTTAAGTAGGACGAGGACTTGGTCTAATCCTGTCGGGGTACTCTGGCTTTAGAACCTTCGGATAGTCAGTCCGAAGGGAGATCAACAGAGTGGGCTGTGCCACTAGTTGGCAGATTTATCTTGCGACACCTACCAAGCACCAAATGGGTGCAAGATAGACAGATGGAAGATATACCATAATTTTATTAACCTCCGTTAAATGCTTCTACTGAATAACCTGGAATTCATAGTATGTTCCAACAAACAATGGTCGGCATACACATATGTACCCATGGCAACATCAGCGAGGTCTGTGTAGACAACACGCCCGTCGCCAGTTAAGGTCGGCAGAACGTTTTGCAGTCCAGTTGAAAAAAATGTCAGATACACTCTCAGCAAGCGCTACGATTATATCTAACACATGCAGAGTTAATACACGCTAATAGCGCATTTTGCCGTCACTTACGGGTATGCACGCACTCACACTCCTTAGGGATCGCATGTGGAAACCCATTGACAGCACAGGGTTCCTGTGTGCACGCCTATATTACTGTTTACGTGGAAATTATGCACCCCAATCCATTTCAGTTTGGTGATTCGGCGGTGGCGTGCACCTTCGGGTGGGGCAAATATCATTCGGGCCTGGGTATGCAAATAGATTGAACATTCGGGTGGGTGAGAAGTACGGCCAGTAGGGAGGGCACCATGTTAAGTTGTAGGCCTCGTTACCAAAATTGAATGTACGTGGAACAATCGAATAGCCAGCCGCACACGCAAAGGTCGCATTATCTCGCTTGACGTATGATCAGGGCGTACACATGTTTCAGTGGTGGTACGTACAATGAACGAGGACAAAACGGTTAGTTGCTTAAGGTGAGACGTCCGAGGAACCCACGAGAATTTTCAGCGGACGGGGATTGTGGATGACGGAAGTCTCAGCGCCGATATTCAGGTGATGGTCCCACCAATCAGCGCAATAGCCAAGGGTATGATGAGTTCTCTGCAAGGTCTACTTGGGGGGGGGGGACATTTCAGCATCGGAGCACGTCAACAATGGATGGTTCAACGCTAAACAAGGCAAACAGACCGTCAAGTTGCCAAGACTCTCCTTAATATCCACTGAAATACGACAGGCCTGTCTTCGAAAAATATGGCAGCATTTTGAGATTTGAAAACAGGGAAACGATGCAAGAGATTATAGTATCCTGGGGACATCTGAAGCTTCCAAAATAGTTGTTGATGTCCATATCGGTACGACTGAATCCCATCCAGGACGGGTGAAGCCGTCATTCTACATGCTGAAGTTGGCCTTTATCATGAATCGTTTACATCCCCGGAGGAACGTGTCCATTTGATCGAATGGTCACTGGGGGCGACCAGGAATACGCCTCGATATTCCTGAAGATGTCGGGGACCCATTCGCGCGGAGAGGTAAAGTGATACAGCATTATTGCGACGCAAGTAAGAAACCGAAAGTCTTTGCCGAAACCTTAAGAACTGACTGGTGACACGTCGGTTAAAGCTACTCAAACCACATAAGACTCAGTCCGCACAAACGCGGATAGAGACAGTAGCACAAAATTACTGACTGAGGTTCACCAGATGGAATGCCAGAATTTTCAAGGCATATAAAAATTATTAATCTTGCGGAAGTTCCCTGACCGGCTATGCTGAACAAATTCCAGCGCCGTCAAGATCAACTCTCTAAAATAATTGCCACATTGGAGCCGGGGAAAAATCTAGAAGGGCTAGTAATCAGCCACGATGAAAAATGAACACGCCTAGATCGTCTGCAAAAAGGAAGTGGGAGAGGGTAAAATCCTCTAAGAACTCCCGTGAAAAACGCTGCGGGTTCCCTAAGCAGACATTGTTGAGGTGCCGAATGAACTGGAATCTGTCAGCGGGATGGTGGATCATCGGTCCAAAACGGCGTTCAGGATGCTGCCACACAGAATTCAGCGGTAGTTGAGATCCGGTTGAATGCGACCTATCTTATAATACACATTTTTAGGGTAGGACCCACTGTATCCACAAATGAACAACCATTTGAACCATTCGTGCGTATGAATGCAAGCATGCACGAAAAAAGAAGAAAGTTGGTGGGTGCAAGGAATTACTTCCATTGGGAAATAATACGCCCTAATGACGGAAGAGAACTGACAAGATATGATGACCGGTAGGGCTGGATGCAAACCGCTTTTAGTCTGAAGCCATCCTCTGGTAGCAGGAGGGTATATCCGCGGATAGGCTTCCACACAACGAGGGGCCACAAAAGTGGAAAGGGCGCATTGTCCAATGACCGCAGATAACATTCCGTGAAGGACTCTTTCTCCGCTTGGCTGATGAGTGGAGCTCTGTATTTTCATCAGTCCAAGCGTAAGCCTGGAAAATGGAGCACGGAAAATCTGTACACTTGCAATCAGACTGCGGATTGGGTTTCGTTCGCTACGCATTTTGGGTGCTCCGTGGTCTCGAAACGACTCAAATTCTGTTCAATCTCATGCGGTCGCACTCGATGGCTTTAACAAAGATGCTTGTCCATTCCTCAGTGATGGAACAGAGCTCCAGGTCTGTTGTATATCCTCGGATTTGACGTTGTTAATCTGACCTCTTCCAGGTCGGGTAAATACAGCTCTGGTTTCGACTTACCGTAGAACCGAAGTGCTAGAAGGGAATGGACTTGATTGGGACGCCTAAGAAAGAGGCGTTCGGTCAATTCGACTGTGCAGGTGGCAGCAGATGGATGAGTTCGGCTGCCCCAATATCCTGAGTTGGTACGATATTTGGAAACTTCACTAGATATGCATGTAGAAGAGTGGATGCACGGGTTCATTAATACAAGACCATTTGACAAACACGTGAAATGAACCAGAGTAAATGGTCTGTGATCCTACACTCTCACAACACATCTCACCGTAGCAACAACTCGGTACACGATTGAAAAAGCCGCGGCTCTCTCGAAAACGTGCTACGTGCAAAGGTTTTCTCTCCTCCTTTGGATGCACAGTCCTGCTCTCAGGATGCATAATTCCTGAAACGAAGATAAATTTGAGATCAAATTATTTCGCCATTCTCTTGGATACATCAATTCTGTAAATTTTCACATTGGATCGTTTTCAGTCTTCGAAACGGTCGAAATCCTTCTTTAGATGGTAATAACGAAATCGACTGAGATGAGAGCAGAGGAAGTGCACAGAGGGCATTGGAAATTTCCAGCTGTACATTTGCCGTTCATATCATCTTGAAAGCGACAGGTTCATCCCTTGTTACCTGGCGTTATATACCGTCGTATGTTGAGCGTACGATGGGTAGACACCGCAGAAATAGCATCCTTCTTTTCAATATTAGGCAGCAGTGCTTAATATCGGTCTCTTGCAACTCGAGTGGTGGTTAGGCAGCCATCAGTGAAAGTGATTGAATAACTGGAAAAAAATGAACTCAGATAGAAAAAAAACTCCAAGTACCGAAACAATTGAATATATTCTAGCATAAAACCTATCTCGGCTCGGAAATCCTGAATCCTGGTTGGTTGTTGTGGAAAACGGGGAGCATGAATAAAGAGTGACCTGTTCCGTGGACAATGAGGACGGGAGGATCATGAGGGGTACAAGCGGGACAACCTGCTTCGGAATTCGGGCTATTAGAAACGTATACAGGGTTACTCAGTATACAGTAGGAAAATAGAACGAATCTGGTAAACAGTGAGAACATAGAAGTATGAGAAAGGTAGCCAAAGTGCGAATTCTGAGCACAAACCTAGGCAACCAAGGAACATAGAAGTATGAGAAAGGTAGCCAAAATGCGAATTCTGAGCACAAATCTAGGCAACCAAATAGCCGCGGCAGTTTTTGCTGCGACACAGACATTTCATTCGCGGTCCCTAGAAAAAAAACACAAAAAGATAAGAAGTGAGGTGATGATCAAAATGTGAAAGGCGAGTAGTTACCGTGGCAGACAATAGAATAGCGCAATGAAGCAAGGAAACATGAAAGATCGGAACGATAACAGGGGAGATGCGCATGATAGAGACATACAGAACCTACACAAACAGGAGGACATTCCATTTTCAAAGATCCACAAAAACAACAAACGAGAAATGAAAAAAACAACACGATACTCACCTTGGATGACAGTGACCTGGTGTCGGCCGACGCCTAGAGATAGAGAAAGAACAGGTTGACGAAATTCTGAGCGCTAAAGGCAACCTGATAACCAGAAGGATGTACACAGCACAAGAACGCGCAAGATAGAGAACAGGGGTGGTGAGAAACGGAGTTTGTGACATATTCAGAGACTAAAAAAGCCCATCTTACTCTATGTGCCCCACAGCTAAAGGCATTTCAAATTGTGGTCTTATGGCGAATAAGTAGCATTATTGGAAACTGGTGTGCTGTGCTTGTAAGCTACCGTTAGGAAGAGAGCCGCAACAGGCCGAATAGATCAGAAAATGTGGCCGTTGGACAGAGATGCATCCAAGATAAAAACTGTCCGCACCGACAGAGTTAACATGTTGTTCACCAGTATTTCACGAAAGATCGACGTGGACAATAAACCAACGCGAACCATCAGAAATACTTGGGTCAAAGACGTTTAATCGAATGCGCTCGCACATTTGCAATTTGGGGAAAGTCAGCGGGGTCATTATTGAATGGGAAACTCCAAACAAGGAATGAATCCACTCAATCCAAAAGTTTATATCTGCTAACTATTCTGGACAAAAGGCAATCAGTCCAGGGATGTTTCTAAAAGGGATCAGAGTTATGCGAGTGTTCCAGAAGCAACTCCTTACAGAAAAGTCATGTTCGGCCGCTTTTCGACGTTCATTATTCTGATCGTACCACTTATAAGGATGGTCCCCATCGGTGGCCGAAGCGTCTGCTGGTATAACCCGATATACCAATGTCGTATTAATTCGTCACGGTCCAACCAGAAACCACGCGATCTTCAATACGGAACTCCGCTATTATCAGAGGATAAACTTCCACCCCAATAGCAGAGCAGAAGGCGTCTAACTAGTGAGCAGTCTATCTCGTATGCAATCACTAATAGCTTGTCACTACCTCTGAATATTCGGTACGTTCATATAAAGCGCGAACATAGGATTTCGTTGGGGCAATCACGACGTACACCTACTTTCGTCTATTGATTCCCAGCTAGATAAGAGACTGTTTCGATTGCTGAACCATGGGACGTGGTGGTCTACTGGATACGAATGTGTCGATAGAAAATAACATCAGTTATCAAACTACTTACTTAAACAAGTAGCACAATTTTGACGATTCACATAAATGAAGATCGCGACCTGATTGGTCGAGATATCGATCCGGATACAAACCGATCGAACGCACTGTACAAAACAGCCGCGATATTTTACCCTTTATTGGCTAGAGTATATATAATCTTTCATTAGCAGAGGAAAAACATTGCAACTCAAAGCCGACTACGATGCACACAAATGCGATTTGCTAACCCATAGTGATGACTACCACAAGTGGAGAACTTACGTAAGCAGCCCTTGTGGTATGCATTTATGTATTTGTATTAAACAATCAAAGTTATAACCCGGGTTCATTTTCCCGACAGTGGACCTGACAAGGAATTTGTCGTCCTTAGCTTGAATTCTACTATAACGATACCACCAGTACCTTCGCCTGCGCTGCGAAGCGCCGGTAAGTTGTGAGAGACAGCGTGAAACTACCGAAGCAGTGAAGCCGGAGACCACGAAAATGCTTCGGTAACTTGAAGAGGATATCATGAATCATGGATTAGTAAAGCCAAATTCCTACCTACCATGTGCACGAACATCGGGAGAACAATTGACGCCACGTGATGTCACGTGTGGAACATACCTAATGTACACTCAAAACACTAGTGGACGACCGCTGTTGAAACAGGACGCACTTGTACGTGACAAGCTTTGTCAACACACACAGAGTACATCCAAGTGAAAACTAAACGCGGCACAACAAAGTTCAGTGTCGAAACCAATGCTTTCAGTAGCGGAAACAGATAAACAGATTGAAAACTTTATCGCAGATCAAAACATGCGAGATCAAACGTTCAGGGCTGAAACGATTGGGCAACGGAAGACCGAAAAATTGTTTGGCGGTAATAAATGCACGGAAGAGGCACTCCGACGGTGTTTCTACATCAAGGCGCTAATCGGTTGCGTCTCTATGGAGGAGTTGGCAGAGCTCAATAGGAGCAGCCCTCCTGGTATTGCTCCCAGTTCGCCATCATCTGACTCGCTGTGATAGCGGGTCGGAATGACACATCCCGACCATCTTGTTCGCACGCAGCTCAATGAGGCAAAATCAATTTGACAGTCAGAAGAATATAATCGATGAAACGATTGTCAACAATGCGGACGTGGGGAAGACAAGGCAAAGCAAAAGTACCTACACCACGATACGATCAAACTCACACGGATCAAGCCACACAGATAACAATAACCCATTTTGCCCTCATAAAAACCTCAGGTAATAATCGTTTGGGCCTTAAAAACAAGCGAAAAGAGAGAACTGACTCAAAGGATGGAAACACCTGACAACCTTCGCCTCCCAAATCAACAAGTAAACGCAGTGGCAGTCGGTATTGGTTTCGACGTGTACAATACACTGGTAAGTCTCTCAAGGTTACCTTCTATGTGCCAAGAGACCCCGACTTAAGGGAGCCAAGTGGAACGACTCGAGAAACGGGATGTCTCATCCCCCAATCATTTCGTGACGCATTCTTCTCACTATATTCTATCGTAAGATTAGGTGAAATGTAACACCGAAAAAAAACCGCCGAATGTACTGCACAGAGCTTGTGACAATGCTTCTACCCAATTGATTTCAACATGAGGAAGTAGCCGTTCTGAGGCTCAAAGATTAGGCTTGTTTTCTAAGCTTCTTATCAACATGACACCACAAATAATTAAGTGGGCGTGATTAAAAGTGAGGTTCTTAGCAGACAAATGCTAGTTACCCACGCTAAATTAGATGTTCTACTAGAATCATAGGTTGGAAAAATACTGATGAGTTACTCGACATAAAAATAAAACCTAATTCGAAGGATCTATGGATGAAAGATAACCGGGATAGTAACATTAGTGAGCATTTTCACCACTTCGGGTCAGCTCACTTCGTTGTTAATTAGGTCAAGACAAATCCCATTCGCAGAGCGGAAAACAATAGTCTCGAGTCATCGGTGTTGTTATCGTCAAACTGTTCGGTCAACTGAAGGAACGCATGTGCGACAGATTGGGGCTGAAGCATCATGCCAAGAGGGTTGCATGGCTTTGATTTATTGAACATATTGAGCATTTTATGTGCCCATGCTGTGTACGACTCGTGCCGACGGAATTCCTGAGTGGCCTGCAAATTGCGTCCAAACCTGGTCTACGACCGCCTAAATCGAAATGGGTGATTAAAAAGCACGACAGCTGATTTCCTGGGCCACTCGTGAAGGATAGTTTAGACAGACGACGTATCTCCTATTGGACTACTGCAAGATATTGTCCGCTGGTTACGGAAGAAAAAAGCCGGAACAATCACGTAACACACGCTCGCCCGTGAAGGATAGTTTAGACAAACGACGTGTCTCCTATTGGACTACCACAAGATATTGTCCAGTAGGTTACGGAAAAAGCCGGAACGATCACGTAACACACGCTCGTTGGGCCGAACTTTCCAAAGAGTCAACAGTGAGACTTAACAGACTGAGGATAGGTGTTTAGATCAGATAAGGTGTGGTACGCCACATTATCCCAAATCTTGGCAGCTGAACAAGCGGAAACATACTAATTTAGTATGTTTCACCACGGACACTACTAACAGCCTCCACCACCCCTTGAGCGGGAGAAGCACTCTCTCCTCAGGAGCGTTTGAGCGTATGAATCCTTGAAAGGAGCCTTAGTGATGGTGTCCAGAAAACGCCAACTGACCGTTCAGTCTTATTGACATACTTGCCAGAACAATTTCTCTATAAAAAAAATCGTTCATCTGTAACACCCTTCCGGCGCCTAGCTGCCATGCTACCTGAAGGAAGCACGAAGGCTGGGATACTGCCAGGTCGCCCAAGCCTAGGAAGAGGCCGGCTCCGAACCACGGACATTACGGTCAGTAAATTCGCCCTCTAACCGCTTGAGCCATCTCGCACAAGTTCTTCAAGTACGACGTAGAATGACAGGATAGAACGTGAGAGTATCTTCCTTGATAATTTATCAACGGTCAGTATACTATGGTTCTGCCTGCGATTTTTTCAAACAACCACTGCAAAAAAGGTAATCGGAAAACAAAGCAATGAGATTTCAGAATGAAATGTGCACTGTTCATGGTCCTCAAAAAGAATGGAACAGCTGTACAAAACTCCTGGGCTTTCCAGTGTTGATTGGGTCCGTATATACGCCGTATATCGCCGTCTCTTCACACCAGCACTAGTCTGCTAGTAGCTCAGAGGAGGAACAATTTTACAAGGCGAGTGAAACATCCATCTCGGAAGACGTCACCCGAGGAGCCAGTCAAGAGATGTGTCCACGTGATGGAGATCCCGCGATGGAAGGATGAGTGATCAGCCGCTCGTGGCCGAACGATAACGTGTTCAAACTACCATTCGCGGGTTCGAGAGCCCCTGGAGTTTTCTGAGTTATACACTGCTAATGAATCCCAATAAGGACGAAAACTGAACAGAATTTCCCGGCTTTTTAGCATACATTGGCTTCACCTACAGGACGAAAATAGAAATTTCAGAACCTACTTCACGAAAGTCAGAGTACATTGTACCGAGGATAATGAGCTTTGTCGACCGGCTTACTGCGTGTTAGGCTTGTATGGACCGAAAAACACGAGTTGGTTGGGAAAAAAGTGGTCCACATTGTCGTAGTGACCAGTGTGCACAGGAAACTCCCTGGTTTCAATGAAGATAACAGCATACGGCTAGGCAAACAGAGCTATCGTAAGATCATCTTCTGGTAAAATCTCCGTCACACAGTACAGCTGATCTACGCGCAGCGCAAGAATAAAAGGTTATCTTTGGACACCTGCGAACAAATCGCCCCCTAGGAAGCGATATCCATCAACGTAAAATGATAATTCTCGTGCTGTGTTGTTTTAAACTCTGTGATCAAGATGCAGACTGCTTGATGATGAATAACTGAACGGATCAATAAGGACAAACGACTGCCGCGGCAGACGGTCGAACCCAGGCTTCCAGCTGGGATTACCACGTCTCCGCTTTCATACTACCGAGCGATCTGATTGCTTCCGACGGGTAATGAATCCACCGGAACAAGAGTCATACACATAAAACGAAGGACTTGCACTGATAGGAAGGATAAAATTGACTGTAGGTAACCGAAATTTGTTGTATAACTGAAAGTACAGTGTAAGGTCTTGGATAACATATAAGCAGTACACGAGGAAAATGGCAAAAAACCGTGGCGGACCCAAAAAACTGTACATGGAAATGTAGGAATGCGTGTTCGAGATAAAAAAAAAGAAGAGGAAAAGCGTTCCGTGATGAGAAAAACACGAAATATACACGGACAATTGTGCCGAGAGAACAAGCGAATAAAAGAATGTAAGCGGAGCACCGATAAATGACACGGAATGGAAAGCATAACCCATAAAAATACTAACCTCGCTCGCGGTGTCTGCAGTAAGCTCAACAGAGATCGTGGAGGGTGGTGAACTTTTCTTCTCTGTTCCGTTGGCAAGACTATCCGTGCTTTCGAGCGGCTCTGTAGAACCCGGCTCAGCGTTCAGACCTTCCTCACTTTGTATCGCTCCTATTGAAGAAATTTTACATGGTTAGAGGCAAAAAAAACACATCAAGAAGGAGAATGGTACCCGTAGGATTGCTTCCAAGTGCTTTGAAAGTTGAGTATAGTGAAACCGAAATTCATGATGACAGAATGCATCCTTTTGTGGCTTACATCTTGAGTGGAACTGACAAAAAAAGTTGGATGGGACAATGTTCCGCGTGCCTTTCAAAAAACAAATCGAGACAATGAAGCCTTGGAAGTAGAACAGAAACCTTGAACAAACAGCAGGCTGTGGTTAAAACCGAAAAGCACTTATTTATACACAGCAGGATTCCATCAAGCGAACACCTAACATACAGAAGCAGCCGGGGATGTGGCCATATGAAATGACAAAAGCTTACCTGTCATGTTGTAGTCGAACGTCAGTTCCTCATCTTTCTTGATAAAACGGGCTGCGAACAACGCGATCCGAGGTAGCTTCGTATTCAGGCACTCGACAAATACACATCGTACTGTCAAGTTCGGATCACACTGGAAAGGGACGAAGGCAAAAGACCCTAGCCATATCAGAAAACAGGGCGGAACGTTGTCCAAAAAACATTTAGAGCGAAATACTACTCAGGTTTCTGGAAAAAACACCCTTTCGGTGCCTAGCTGCCGTGCCATACGAAGGAAGCACGAGGGCTGGTGGTAATGCCAGATGGCCCAAGCTTAGACAGGAGAATTCGAGAGGCAGATGTAGAATTCGAACCCGGGACCTTCTGGTCGGTAAATTCGCACTCTAACCACCTGAGCCATCTCGCCCCGGTCAGGTTTCTCTGCAGCCTGCAATAGCAATCTGTTACACGTAAGGCAAACATTTCTGTCCAACATGTGTTCTCAGAGTCTGGAGAGTGCGGGGAATGTTACTGTTAGAAAAAAGAGTCCAACACTGTATTATGCCATCTGGGTTTATGAACAAGAGACACGCAAACAGCGACATTCGGTAGCACAAGCGAGTACGAACATGATGGTGAACGATTCATAGCATCTTCGCATCTTGATTACCACTCACAGTAACAGTTGTGCTGGGGTCCAGTGATTAGCGAAATCGAAAAAAAACGCTAAAACGGTAAGGTTGTCCTCGTGCGAGAGCATCCTAGGCCACTTTAGAGTGCTTGAGGTGTGTAAGACAATCCTGCGTTCATCAACCTGAACAACCAAAGAAAAGGAGGACCAAGTCATGAACCACCGCCACGGATTTCGTCGGAGAGACACATCTGCTCGAGCATTTCATCAAGCTATAAGCTTTCACAATAGATCGCAAAAAAGTACAAAAGGTTAAGATAGCTCGGTGGTGAAGACGCTAGTTTATGAACTGAAGGGTTATTGGTTCGAACACAACATCTGCATCTCGACTGCTCCTGTCTGGGCTTGAGCGACCAGGTAGTAGCTCAACACCTGTGCTTCGTTGGGGCCGCATGACAGCTAGACACCGAAAAGGTGTTGCGAGTATTACTAACTAATTGTTCACAAGATCAATAAACAGCAAGTTACATACTGGTATCTAGAGGATATTGGCAGAAAAAACTAAATGGCCATTCAACTGAAGCAGAGTGAGAAATGGGATACAATATAAGGTGGATGATCAATAGGAGACTGATTTTTTGGGAAGTAACGACAAAAAGAACAGTTCGTAACAGAATAAACACTGACTAGCCGAAAGCTAATCATTACCAATGGTCAGCGATGTGGAAAATTGCAGCATCCTGAATTGCGATGGCAGTGTCTAATCGCCGTGCCACCCGAAGGAATTAAGAGGTCTGAGCTACCGCCACGCTAATCAAGCCTAGACAAGAGAAGCCGGCACGCTTGTGTTCGGTTTGAACAAGAGACCTTCCGGTTAATAAGTTTGCGCCGTAACCGCTGGGCTATTTCTAGCCTGCTTCCATCAGTTATAGAGCACCTACCGAATGATTGAAGAAGTGAGAAATGTTCCCCATTTGCGAGGCATCCACCGTATAATGGGCGTCACCCTCAAAGTCCAAATCAAATAGATAGGTCATCGTTTGTTTGTCGTAGATTACGCCGCGTTGCTCAGCCTCTTCAAAGGTTAAAATCTAAAAAAGTGCAGTAAAGTTAAATTGGTGACCAATCACATTTTTCAAATCGACAATAGTTCATCTCTCGATAGCCATACAGAGTGGGTGGAAAAATCAACCGATAGGCAAAAACAGAAATATGGAAATCGGTAAAATAAAAATCCAGTGCGAAACGAAAAACTGATAGGGACGAGGCTATTTAGTAGCAAATAAAGTGACTCTGAAACAAGCTTGGACAAACCAATTAAACAATTGGTCAAACAAACTATCAACAAATTGCGTTTAAAAAGCTGAGTTTGGCTGCGGGTGTTCAGAAAAATACTGTTGATCAAACTGAAAAAAATCGTTCAGCTGTAGCACCAGTTCGGTGCCTAGTTGCTATGCTACCCAAAGGAAGCATGAGGGATACTGCCAGGTTGCCCAAGCCTAGAAAAGGGAAGTCGAGAGGCAGAGGTCGAATTCGAAACACAGACCTTTCGATCAGGAGGTTCGCGCTTTAACCAGTAGAGCCATCAAACTCTGGAAACCAACAGTAAGCTGGTCAATAAAATCAAATCGCACCCTACCTACTTGCGTTCTTCCAGTAGTGCAATTGGGGCATGGAAAGCATATAGCTCACAGGTAAAACGGTATGGATCAAGGATATGTTATATCGGCGTTGACGAGAATATCGGGTAAACGATAAATATTCATAAGCTTGGCCGCTGGCCAACGTCCGCCGAATTCGCGCTGTCTGAGTGTTTTCGGGGGTGGGAACTCAAGAGACTTGTGGCGGGCCGGATCCTTTTCATGACTGTGTGCCTTTTTTGTTTCAAACTGACTGTCCTAAGACGAACATTCAAGAAGCAGGCTATCAGGCTAAACACTGATGCTGCTGTCTGTGATAACGATCACAGTCCTCTTAAGAACTGACTTAATAAGAAGGTACAGTCATAAACACAACTATACTTAAACGGTTTCTCCTCATTTCAGGGCTTCAAGAAGTCACGGAGGTAGTGCACTGAAGATGAGCGTGGGAGTTACCCGATTCTGTGACTTACCCAAAGCTTCAAAGAAATCAACATCACTACGTCCAGATGTATTACTATGGTGAGGCCCCATGTAAAACATTCAAAAAAGTGGTGAAAACATCTCAAAAGAGCGCAACATTCGGAAGGTACTTGAGGGAGAACCGTGGAATTCAAAGAAGACGAAGTAACATTTTTTCGATGCATCTACACTGTTCACATCTGTCAGTTAAAACGCTGGAAGGACGGGAGTCGCTGAACAGCCGGGGCACCAAAAATCAGTTAAAACGCTGGAAGGACGGGAGTCGCCGGGGCACCAAAAATGCACAAAGTGAAACCAAGACGTGTGCCAAAAATCGGATCTACGCCTGATTACGCGGTTTTCGGTTCAAGGAGACTGCTGTAAATGATTAAGATCAGTAGCAAGAAGCATCGACTCCCTGGATGCGATCGGACCTCGTACGCTTTATATACGAGTGACAATCTTGCTATTCCGTAGGAACGCATCGAACTACCTCAAGACATCCATCTCGTAACGAAAAAAAAACAACCCACCGGTGTTTCTAGATGGTGATAACAAATAACCAACTATAAGCTACACTATACGCGGACTCGACTAAGTTAGACAACCCTTACGGAGGAATGCCTGGTTGGACTCTAAATAGTATTGAAAAACGGCGAGACACCTCAATTATAGAATCAAAACTTCTAAAAATAAATAGTTGCCAATCTGCCAATTAAATAGAAGGAGCACATAAAACAGAAAACACAGAACACAGGAAACAAAAACAAACCATGAGACGAACCAAAACAAAGGAAAACAGATGTTGAAACATAATACTCCAACGAGCCAATCAAGCGCAAGCAAATGACAGCACGCTGTAAGAAATTAAAAGGGACCAATCAAGTTACACAAAGCCAGCCCATAACTAACCAATCATGAAAAAGATGCCGTACACGTTCTGAGGACTATATAAACGCCTGTAGGAGAGGAATCAACTATCCAGTTGTGTGCTGTTAATTCGGCTGGTACGAAAGGATTGTTCACAAGCTGTCAAGCTCAGTGGGCAAAAGAACATTCAGCTGGTGACAACGGTTCGAAGATTTCATAGGTCTAGTGAAGCGACAAATCAGGGGATTGTGAACAATTCCGCCACATGTTCGGACCAGAGGATTAATTCCCTTTTTCTAAGAAGCATTAACAAAGATTTACTATGCGAAGCTTGAAGTTGACGGCCCCCACAGACAATCTGGCCTTTGAAAAAGACAGGGGCTTCTCGATAAAGCGAATAACACTCGAATGATATCCAAAAGCAAAAAAAGCGTCAAATCCGACGACGTGTTATTTTTCACAAGTTTCTCTGTAGCTGTACTCAGCATTTAGCTCTGCAATTACAGATAATCACGCCACATGTCTTCAGATTAGCCCTGTTAACCGGGCAACTGCAACCCTGCATGAGAAATCAGGGATGATGAAAACGACGTTGCACGAGGCAAGCTGTTGCGCACTCTCCTGGCACTAAGCCAAACGACTGGGTGGAATGAGTTGAAACGCCGTCGTTATTTATCTACCGACGACAGGAGAACTGGGATTAGGGTGCGTATGAAAAACCAGAATCGGCATCAATACCGTACAATCTCTCATTAAACTAAAAGACGGAGAAAACAGGTGCCCGGTCTCAGTTACCATCTGTCGTAAAGAGCTGCTCAGTAATGGTGATATATCCGGAGCTGGTGCATTATTGGCAATGACCGAAATGTGCTTAGAACCGCAAGTATGACGGGCTGCCTCCACACAGACAGCTTATAAACACGAAAGTTGGATGCTCAAGATCTACACAGTAAGCTACGCAGCCTTCGTCAGAGGAAGATGGCTGAGCACCGAGTGCTCTACGGCACAGTAGTCCATTCGACATGCGGAGAAGGAAGCGTGAATAGAAAAAACTCCCCCCACTTCAGGGATTAGGGCTGAACTTCTATTCATGCGAATCACTGGACGTACATCGGCACTCTTTGGTTCGTCAAAAGATTGCCTCAAATTATTTTGACAGTTTTCGTCTCCGCAACCAACTGAGGTATCCTGGGGAGTCTTGTTGATACCTCATATCAAGTTTGTCAGTCACCAGCGATTTGACGAACAGTCTCCTGTTTCTCCAAGTTGGGGCTGGAAAACGTGTGGTGAATTCTTTAAGACGAGTGCTGTACTGACATTTTCCTCCCAACTCCACCAGTTTGCGGCTAACCTTTTGAGACAAAGACTTTGACTGAGGATTCTATCGCGACCGTCTGGGTTTTGGTGATCCGGCAGTAACCTTGTCCATGTACAATCACGACACCTCCAGCTTAAGTTACTCTCATGCAATACCGACCGCCAGGAGGCGTCATCAGCCACTGCATACAGTAGAGGGAGTAAGCGGCAACAGGGTACTGCTAAGCCCCCTTTTTACTATCAAAAAGTTTTCCCTTAACTCCCCAATTCCATTCTCCATGTAGGCTCAGCAGCTATGACCGTCGGTCCCATTCCATATTATCGTTCTTGGTCGCAACGTATCCCGGTCGACCGGAGCCAATGTACTCGAACATTTCAAAGCCAAATTTCAAGCCCCAACAGCTGGCTTGTTTGAGTGCACTTAATAGTCACACTTCAAAGCAAGTAGGACAAGCTGCTTATGCTTGCACACCGAAGTCGTTTGACATTGATGTGTGAAGTAAAGAAGGAACAGTAATTCCAGATGCAAGCAGCCCCCCCCCCCCCCAGTTTCCACTCGCTGCGTGTCTCCCGTAAGGCAGGCGTAGGTGGGTTCGAATCGTCCTTATTCACCGGCCGGAAGAATCCTTGCTTGACTGGTTGCCGAAGTGGTCCGTTGCAAGATCCGGAAATTGATTGTTGTTCAATAATCATTTTTGCTTACGCCCCAACCAACACCATTGAAGGAAACCTTGAGCGCCATTTTGCGGGGGCTATGAGCTCAGATGTGGTTGTGATTGCCAGAGATGTGAATACACAAACCTAGTAGATCTGAGGCTCAACTGGTTATCTAACTTGAATTGTGCTTGATGCGTAACGACAGGAGTGAACGACTGCTTCAGCGTTGTGGTTGACCGAGACATCTAAACACACGCACTCCAACAGCGTGCCAGCCACGAGCCCAATTCCATGAAATTGCCACCAGTCACAAACGGTGCGGACCAATGACTACCACCGCTAATGTACGAACACTTATGTGTATCTCGGCTATGCACTCGTACGTAGTCGCTCCTACTTTTAGAGCTAACGGGGTCGCGCTAGGGGGCGGATAAATCACGTGGCGAACGATAAATTAGTAGATCCCTGAATTAGACGAATTTATCATAAGCGTTTTTTGAACTCTCCCCCAAATGCTCTAGCGTCGGATGTCAGTTCGTACTGCAACGAGAGCGCCACATTTTTGCACAATACCAACGGATACCCTGTGACAGAGTGCCAAGAGGCCCGCTCGAATATGTAGCAAAAATGTGGCAATTTTTCAATCTCGGAGAAATGTACCCGCCAGTATAGAACGTAATTCAGCTCCACGAATAACCAGACGCCAAATTAAACTTGATATGCACATTGACCGCGAAACATGGTGAAGACGGAAGGATAGGGAAATGGGATAGCCGAAGAATTCGTGAGGACCTGAGTTTCATCTTGGTTGATCCGTGTGACCAGTATCCGCAAAACGCCCTAGAGCGAAACCACCAAGGATCAAAGTGGCTTAATCATTTCTAGGAAAGGACGCCACGTCCACTCGGCCAGGCACCTTGGATAGCTATTTGAGTAGCCACACTAGAACCCCTGGGTGCTGCACCGGGAAACTCCCGCGGCCTCGGGAAGTTTTATCAAACATCAGGGAGTTCCCATCTTCATTTCTCAACGGCATGGGTGAAGCCCTTAGTCAGTGGCCGTCTGATCTATATGCCTCGATCTGTCCCAGACAACTGAGGGGATTGGTTCCTTTTCCAAAAACGAAGTGGAGCTTATAGTGGGTTTGGTAATCACGGACGGATCGGGTTGAATCAATTCACAACGGGAATCCTGGCGTCACCTGTGCTTCGTCGCCTGTAGAGCAGTGATTCGAGGGCAATAAGTATAAATCCGACCCAGTTGGGATCGCCATGACCAAATCTCCAAACTCCGTCAGGAGATAGAACGACGCCATGCGTACACACGACTGAAATTTCTGGTACTCCAAAACATCAAGGAGCATTGGGCTCATTAACACGCTCGTTCAGTGAGGAATACCCAGAGGTTGAAAAATGTAGTGGATTCTTTCTACCCAGGACTGGTGGGCGAGAGTACAAGGTCAGCTATTCAGAAGCCTCTGTACGCGACGTAGTGTCTGACATAGATGCCCACCCTCCATCCCTATTTAATTTCTGATCGCAAAAAAACGGAATGAGCGCTGGGAGATTTTCAAAAGCCTGATGTTCTACCAGTTGCTAAGGTAGGTATTGTTCATTTGGAATACGCGGACATCACTTGTGTCTTCGAAGATAAGGCTGAGGTGAATATGGATCAAATGTGCGCAGTCATACCATCCTTTGATATGAGCTTTGCATCCAGTGTAAAGTCAGATAAGGCTGAGGTGAATGTGGATCAAATGCGCGCAGTCATACCATCCTTTGATATGAGCTTTGCATCCAATGTAAAGTTATGCTCCAGGACATCCGCCAGAGTTTGCGGCGTGCGTATCAGGCCACTTAAGAACTATTTCGTTGTATGGTCATGGGACGCAACTAGTTCGAGCAGCGGAACTGAGACGTCGTCCGGTGACTGACAACGGCTGTCTCAGAACCAGAGCCCGCGTGGACGAATCTGCAATGAGATCCCTGAAAAACGAGTGTTCAGTTGCGCAAAAAGGACTTCCTCTGAACTATCGTTTGCAGAAGAGTCCCGCCTTCCGCGCCTAACTAAGGGGAGGGAGAACAGAAGGATGTTCAAGCTTCTACCTGGTAAAGCTATATCAGATCGATTACAAAGTGCCGGTGCGACCAGCCTCCCAGGACTGGGTTAGCTGCAGAAGCTGCAAGATATGGCCGCTACTGGATGTCGATGGCGTGTTTAATGCCCGTTTCTATCCAACTTGTCTAAATAACACAAATAATGATCTATTACTTCGCTCCCGAAACAACGCACCAATGATATCATCTCGACTGCTCATGAGACGTTTGTAATCAAACCGCCCCGCCCAGCGAATAGATCAGCAACTACAAAGCAATAGTTTTGTCGTAGGGTTGACATGGGCAACGTAGTCATGTACGTAGTAAATCAATCTCTACCGCGTACGACAGGAAGGAGGTGATGTGACTGAGATGCCCGTAAAGGAATTGGTGCACTCATTCCGGGAGAAGCTTGTCACGGGCAGTCTTGCGCTTCGTATAAGACATTAGTTGTTTTTCCCCCTCAGTTTCTCATCCTAGGGGCACCATATATCCCGGTAATGTAATTCAGTCCGACGATTGCTATGAGAATTAACATGGTTGCCAATCAATCGACGAAAGCCATGCAGGAAACGATCCCTCGACAGGAAGTTTGGGTTGCCATGCCACACGAAGGAGGCACGAGGGCTGGATACTGCCAGGTTGCCCAAGCCTAGACAGGGGAAGTCGAGAGGCAGAGGTCGGTTTGTAACCACGGACCTTCCGGTCAGTAAATTCGCGCCCTAACCAACTGGTCCTATTCGCCCCCTTATGGGAACTATGATCATAGAAGGATAATTCGTCTCATAGATGCGACATCCACGTACACCGAATGACAAGGCAAACAGAATATACAACAGAAAAAAGCAGCAACTATTAGTAAAGTATGAGTAGGCGGATGCGACAGAATTACAACACCACGACAGAATGTTGTCTCATCGGCAATTGTTTCACCGTGAAGCTTCTACAAACTGCTTGGCCGTAGGCGAGTCAACATTTGGATGCCGCATTCGCTCGTAAGTCTTCATCCCCGCTTGGGGCGAGCATTCGCTTGGGCTTTGAACGGATGACGCTTCGGAATTCTGCATACTCTGGTTGTTAGTAGGTTTAAAGGGTCATCAATCGGGTTGGAATCAACACTGAATGTCCACCAGTTTAAAAGGTTTACACCCAAAGACTGAAGCCAAGTGCTGCTTAGGTGAGACCTCGTCTTGCGGAAATATCTCCCCATCCTACTTAGTTGCGCTAGCGATAGTCGATCGAAAATATTGAAACGTCGAACTCTGCTTCGATTCCGTTCGGTGCTGTGCCTTCTGCAGTCCACAACAGACCACCTCGGGTGTAAATAAACTTGCAAATCCTGAGCGTTCCCCACGTCCGGCTAATCAGTCACCAAAGTGTCCATCATCACTGACAATGGCACAACCTATTTATCAGTTCTAGTTGAGATATGTCGCAAATTTCCGCATTTTCTGAATGCGTCTGTTGGACGTAGTGGCGCCAAGCTCCTTGTCTGAGGCGATCGTAGGTGAATTCGAACCTGCCTAATGTAGCAGACCGCTCGTTGCAGAAGACAAGGATCCGTGTATTCGACGACTGGAATAAATGCCATCGTCGCCACAAGTGAGAAAGAGATTCGGCTGTTCATACCATCCGAAATTTTCGACAACGAACGTCTATTCCATGGACTGCATTCAGGGCCGAGACGCAGGAAATGGACTGTGGATTTGCATAGAAGGATCACGCGACTTATGCAGGTGAAGTAAGAAGCGATAGCGTATGCTAAAATGAACGGAACAAACAAAATATCGCGAACGCTCCACGGCGCAAGCTAATGTCAATTAGCGAAAAGCGTCCTTTTCTGCGTCACAACAGGATGAGCACTAAGAGAACACAAGCGGCGAGAGAGTTAATCCAAAGAAATTTGCCAAGTATCAAGTTATTTTTAACGCGCGACTTTTCCCAAATACATAACCGGTACGTGAGAAATATATCAAGACCATTGACAACCAACGCGTTCGATGGGGAGACGTAACGATGGACGAATGAAAAAATAAACGTCGCAACCCCTGACCCTCCCAGCAGAAGCTGGGAGAAACAGGGGTAACATGGGGCGAACATAACGAGAAACAAACGATTTGCTCTCCACACGTTTCCCATCAAACGGCAGTACTTGTCGAAAGCACGACGAGTACAGTTGGTGTTGCTCGGCAACCTCACCTCGCCCAAATATTCAGCCACAAATGTGCCGGTTGCAATCGGAGCCTTTGTCTTCACACCCCAGCCACGATCTCGAGTGCGGAAAACACACAGAGGAACTTTGCGACCTAGTTGTACTACGCGGAACGGACATGACGGACCGCAGGGGCACCTGAAAATCGAGAAGACCGGAGAGAAAATTTCAAAGATGACCAGAAAAGGAATCCAAACTGAAATATCTACATACCGGAAACAGGGAGGACAGTTTATTGCCCATCGTTTCATAGGAAAGTCAGACTATGGTGTGGTAAGTGCAACGAACCAAAGTTTTCCGTAGTAGCAACATTGCCTGCGAAAAATTGCGTGAGGTAACCAAGAAAATACATGCGCCTATGTACCAAGAACAACCAACGGGTGATTTGACTTTATGTGGCGCCATGAGAAGGGAAAATGTCGAATTTTATCAACCGCAGCCTTTTCCGCAGTTGCTGACTAGTGGACAATGCCGAACAGTTGAGCTAAAAACGGTATACATCTTGAGGGAGACGTAGATTTAAGATGATAAAAAGTGAGGAAGAAATGAGAAACCATCAGAAAAGAACGATGTGTGAGTCCTGTGCGTCCTGGAACAGAGCTGTGTTGGAAGACGTCCAATCAACGCGTGTTACACAAACCAAAGAGGTGATTGGAAGTTTCACTCTGCACTTTGCTGTTCCAGAACAAGACATGGAGAGAAAAAAACTGGGCCATTATTTTGTAAACGAGCATGGACAGAAAAAAACTGGGCCATTATTAAAAATTGTAAACGACTAAAACACTAATGGAACGCCCGTCGACTCACGTCAGAGCGCAGGCTCATTACGGTAAGGCATCAATGGAAGCTGAAAAGCAACGCCCAAATTTAAGAACAAGCGCCACAACTAGGGGATGAAGGTCATAATGGTGGAATACGGGCGGCTAGGAAGATCAGGTCGTTCGAAAACGCCACACTTTCGCAAATACTACTCATGTCGTTTGGTGGATTGCACTAATGGGTACGTGGCCTCAAAATTAAGGCAGTACAATGCGAGACATATGGCATGTCCGCTGATAAGGAATTAGAGTAGTAGCAACAACTTTTCTATTCTTCTCTATTCTTTTTGAAGCCTTAGATTAGAAACAGGGCAGACGTCTAAAAACGAAATAACGATTGGTGTAAGAACATACTAGGTGAAAAGAAAGGATCGGACAGCACTTGAGGGTTGATAAGGTGCCCGCCAAGCGTTTGTCGTTGGTGGCCTTACCGTTTCAATCTTGTTGGGTCCAAAAATACCACCTGGGTCGCAGCACCGATGGCGGTGAAAAGAACGGTTTTCTCAGTCGAGTTTTGGTGGCCTTACCGTTTCAATCTTGTTGGGTCCAAAAATACCACCTGGGTCGCAGCACCGATGGCGGTGAAAAGAACGGTTTTCTAACGCAGTCGAGTTGTAAGGGTGGATTTCAAATCTCCTGGAGCGAATTCGCAGAGAACTAGAACCGGATAAGTGACTTGAAAGAGTGCTGGTATAACGGCAAAATGTTCCAAAATTAGGTTGTTTGGTGTCCTACATGAACCGCGCTATTGTTTTTTTCGCGAATCCTGTTCGTGACATTGAAATACACACTTCCAACACTAATGAAGACCGTGTTGTTAACTCCTACATATCCGCCTTCTACATTTGGAGGACTGAGCTACTCTGAGTTGTGATTAGCCCGTTGGGTGTTTCAGCGGCTACTACGTTGTTGATCGGTTAAAGTCGGTTGTTATTTCATTGGCTACGTTGTCCAAAGCTGTCTCAAGCGAATTTCATTGGTAGAATTCACATTTCTCGTGCGCTGTGGAGTACTAACTCCTAATCCGATTGGTCGTTCGGAAGGCATTCATTGCATAACAAATCGTTCGGTAGACAGCAAGGGTACATCGATCAAATTTTGGGGAATGGGTCCTAAAACCTTCATTATCTAATGATGAATGAGTGAGACACACATAAACAGAACATCTGGCTAGCACAAATTCTTGGTGAGCACCAATTCAGCAAAGCCCGAGAATTAGAAGCAATAAATTTATATGACTGGTTATCAATTCCACTGTGCATTACCTGAAGGTGAAACGTAGGCTATTTATTATTATGATTTATTTATTATTTATTTTTGACGCAGGCTATTTTTTATTTAACCATTTACTTTCAACTGGAAATTGAAAGACCAGAATGCCTCTGCAGATGACGTTTGGTTTTACTACAACAACGGCACCTGACAGTGATTCAGTATTTCATGACATCACAGGTTACGATACGCTACTTGTCGCCGAAAATAAGAGGAGATTTGCTACTGTTAGTTGCCATCGCAAAGCAACTCAATGACGATGCCATTGTGGTCGCAAATTAGGATAAAATTACCGGGAAAGGCTAGTTGAGCTCTGATGCATTGCTCGTAACCTTGATTGGTTGGTCCACAATATGTTAATCTGTGTACGACACTTCGCAGTTCACTCCTCGTATTCCTTACATGTCTATCTCTTTATCTATTGGTCATAAACCGTGCGCCATAGGCACAATGGTTCCAGCTACTACAGTTTCGATCACCGAGCGTGGGATATACAACCAAGCCTTGGAGTGGATGCTGTATTTGGTTAGTTCGGTAGCTACGCTTTGAAGGCGAAAGCCTTGATGCATGAACGCGATTAGGCAGTTTCCGCAAGTGTTTGTAACCAGGGATGAGTCGAATCCCGCGGTCCCCATCCAGGGAGGCGGCAGTTGTCGACCCGACTAAGTTTACTGGTTAGTGTTTTCGTACTTTGTTGCCAGGTCATACACTGCCCACCCCTCGGTCGCTACATGTCACAGCGTGGCTGGGTGAAAAGAGCTCTGCTAGGCAGGCGGCATTCTGGCATGCGCAGTGTATGTCCTAACCAGTGTGGGTAATAAATCTATCGCGGGAGAGTTCCTTTTTCTTAACACTGTCTGGTGTACTTCTGCACTAATAATCCTATGTTCCACCAGACCCAACCATTGCTTCGAAGAAAACTATGGTCAAACACTGACAGCTTTCGTATATAATCTGCGCGTAGAGGTCACGTTTCTGATCCACAAAGCAGCATGGATCGCACCGCCTTGACAGACAAGCTCGCGTCACGTTGAAGTTTGGGAAAAACTAACCTGGTTTTTCCGATTCGAGAAATATTCACATTTCCACTCAGTCCACCGGAACTTACACAGCTGGCTAGGTAAACAAATTTATCTACCACGTCGATTGGCTCGCCTGCAAGCATGAGGTGTGGGTTCGATCCCACCCAGTCCTTTAGCAGCACTTTACAAATTGCAGGTCTGAAGCGCATGTCTAACCGTGCGGCAGACTTATTTAGGTTATTCAAAATCATTCGCATTCGGAAGGGATCTGAACCAAGAACCGCAATATCGTCCGCATACTCAATGCCTGTGGGGGAACGTCCCAGGAGCATTTCGACTCTCGGGGTTTCAGAGGAGCCAGAGCAATTTCAAGCAGCATTTCAATAAAAAAGTTGGAGACGAAAGGTGAGGGCAGCCTTGTCACACCACTGGACGTCGTGAACTCAGGCGAGAGCTTCCCGTATATTCGCACGTGCCCACAGGAGTCCGCATACATTTGCCCTCATAAGGGATAGAAATTGGGAATAAACACTGATCGTCAGACACCGCCAAAGTTCCCGACGATCGACATAACCAAAATCTGCTTTCAGATCAAGAAAAACGTACAACGCGGTAGGCTGGAAAGAAAGGCGCTAATCGAGAAGTTGTCTCAAGGTCAACGCATCCTCGGCCAGGGTGAAACCCAGATTGATTATCACAAATCTGTCTTTTGCGACAATCGATCAACCTTCGCAAAATAATGCCAAAGAGCACTTTAGACGCGACGGATACCAGGCTGATACCACGATGGCTTTCGCATGACGCGCTTGCGCCCTTTTTGAAAATTGGGATGACGATCAAGGAGCTCCATTCCACCGCACTTCTGTTTTCGTCCCGAATCCTCAGTAGTGTGGATGTCAGACTGTTCACCAGGACCACGTCACCTTCTTTGAAGAGAGGGCAGGGTACAGACCATCCGAGCCTCGTGGAGATTCAAAATCGATATCCAGCGCTGGATTTCTCTTGTTCATGGGGGGCTCGTGTCACTGTTTTCTTCAGGCCCGCTGGGTTCTTCCAGCTATTGCGTTGAAGAAGACCAGCTGTTCAGCCCATCTCTCAAGACGACGGCTAAGGGAGTGGATGGTTCTTCCATCTTTTTTTCATATTGTTCGACTGAGACCTGCCTTCTTTTAATCGGTTGCTGGGACCCGCTGAAATAGGTGCGCCTGTTACCTGCTGCGAAAGTCTTCTTCACCTCCTGGGCCTTCGACATCCACCAGCGTTCAAGCTCACGAATATCCAGTGTCTGGGGGATCTGTGTGCCCCGTTACAGTCGCTAGCTGTTGGTATGGCCTTTCTGGCTGCAATAGGATCTACTGATCTTGAAGATATCTAATATTCATTTGGTCCAGTCAGATCTCTGAGAGCATTGCTTCTTCAACCCGCTTCCATTCAGCCTCCAAGCAACCTTCGTCACCTGCATCACTGTGCGCATCCACTAGCTTTCTAACCAGGTCAGCTCGATACTCTTCAGCTACTGAAACTTGTCGAAGTTGATGAACGGAACAGTCTGCTTTCGTACTCCTAATGCTGATGGAAAGCGAACTGATAGCCGGGTCAGCACAATATCACGATCAGGGTCAGGCTGCATATCACAGAAGGAACGACCTTTTTTTGCTTGACGATCTCTATCGGTAGTTGATAGCCACATGTTCCAAGACTGTCTTATGGTTGGGAGTCTCCAAGTAACTCTATGTGAGCGTTTGTGTTGAACGTTCGTACCGAATAGGATGCATACAAGTGGAGCAGTCGCTCCCCATTATCCGTACGCTCAGCATCGACCCCAAATCTACCACCCAATTGCGCTTCTTCTGGACTTATTCGTCCAACTTGGGCATTCATGCCACTTGTCCTTCTCAGTCTCAGAACCGCTGTCTGTTGGAGCGTAAGCCAATACGACGAATACCGTTTACCACATTGACCTGCACTGGTTTTAATTGAGCCAGACAACCGCACAGCACAAAGACGGCTACCGGGATCCAGTCCAAAAAGGCACTTTCAGCCACGAGCCATTGCGTGAGGATCACCGAATACCTCTAAAGTGAAATGTTGAACATCCGAGTCCGACCTTAGCGGCTTAGGCAGGACGATCGAAGGGTATGTATTGTGTGCGTGTTCCCGGAACATCGGCAGGCAGGAAAAGCAAGGTTCCAGCGAGAGATGCCTGTTGTCCAATTTGACCTAGGGTACGGATGTTAAGTGCTGCAATGTGGTTCACAAGCCCAACCACCACGATAAGGTGATCACTTTAGGTCGGCTTTCTCAGATGTGGCATTACAACTTCTTTCGTGTGCTCTCCAAAGTTCTGACAAGACGTAAAGCAGCCCCAACAAGACTAGGATTTAACATCCACCGCGTTCGACCATTCTTTCGTGAATTGCATGGGGAACTTAGTAACCGCAGCGGTCTACACGAAAAGAACTGGTTGAGAAGCTTTATGGGTACAACCCGAAATTGATGGAAATCCCTAGCAGTTGGCCACGGAACGCCAAGAGTTTGCTAAGGCCCACGAAAGTCCAAGGGCCTCCTAACCAAACAAGGAGGCGAATTTACGATTAATTCAACGCATTCCATCTTCATGTGGATCCAGAAGATTGAGCGGATGAGACCGAATAACGGTCAAGAAAGCCTCAGGGGCATCTAGAACCTGCTGGATTGCGCACTGCATTTTATGATTTAAGGACTATACGTGCTCCGTGGAACAGAGGCCAGCGGACGCCATAATCGCAACCGACAACATACTCCCAGCAGGCCTCAATACGTGACCCTTCAGTTATTTTCCACACGTCACAGCATATCTAGCAAGCGACGTCGGACTCTACTAACGCAATTCGTGAAAAACTGGGACTTATTACCGGCCTCAGCAACAACGGACATAGTGAACGCGTATACAAGTTGACCCTTCAGTTATTTTCCACACGTCACAGCATATCTAGCAAGCAACGTCGGACTCTATTGACGCAATTCGTGAAAAACTGGGGACTTATTACCGGCCTCAGCAACAACGGACATAGCGAACGCGTATACAAGTTGTACGTGCCAAAAACACGTCAGAAAGCCTGAATACTGAAGCGCACCCTGCAACAACTGAGCCAGACTGAGGAGGCGTTATCGTCGGACGCACCGAAATACCGAATACTCAGTCTCCAGAAAAAAAAACGGTTCGCCGGAAACAAAAGAAGTCCTTGCTGAACCTGGTCATTGCCCATAAGAGCATTTTCGCCTGAATTATCTACACATGTATCATCTAAGCATCAATACTCGCCACTGGTAGATTTCCGTCGGTGATACTGATGCTGACGAGCGAGAGTGTTCGAGAAGGATAACAGGCAAGTGATGCATCTGTGGCGCTGTTTTCATATGAGTACACAGCCATGTGCACAGTAGTAACTGAGGCAGTAGATATTACCATTGGATGCTGTAACCTACATGACAGCTATGTTGGTGTTCAACCTAGACTGGTAAGCCAACCGGCCGATGGTCTACAAACGAAGCGAAAGAAATATGAAACCCCGTCAACTTGCGTATCACCATCCCCGACAACATAACATCAGTGCTTCGATGTCGTACAAACATGTTTGTTTGAAAATCTTACTGCGAAGCGTATACTGCGCGAGCATGCATTTCGACTTCCCGTAGCGATTTAAGCGATTATGGCGCGACGCTCAAAACCGCGGGTGAGAAAGTGCACAATGAACAATAAGCAGACATGGCTAACTTAGATGCTAGAAACGCTACCAGGGTTTGCCACGGACTGTACGAACAGCATATGCAGACATTTGTGATCGGACAAAGGAATGAGTAATGTTGAGTAACGTTGGATCACTCCGTAACCCACATTAAAAAAGAATTTCGATCCACTGGGCAGAACAAGCTATACCATGTTGAATAAATCAGTCATTATTGAAAACTCCGCTAGCCATGAATACGCAGTAAGTAATAGACGTGAATTTATACACCAGTTGGCCTTGACGAACCAGAGTAGGAGGCGGAACAATCACAAACTATTCCGTGATGCCATAGAAGACTTGTGGACTAGCCTTCATTGTTAGATTTAAACTGACCGATTGCTACCATTCGTTCGGGCCAGTTATTAAACATATCCTCATGTCCCACTCCAACTTATCGAATTCATTCGTGAAATAGACCGTAGAAAGAAGGCAATCATGGAGTTAGATTTTTCATCCATGTGTCCGAAGAAAGCAAGAAGCACGAGGGCTGGGATAGTGCCAGGTTGCCCAAGCCTAGACAGGGGAAGTCGAGAGGCAGAGATCGGGGTCGAACCACGGACTTTCCGGTCAGTAAATTCGCGCTCTAACCACTTGGTCCATCTCGCCCCTAGGTATCGATGAGTAAAACAGTACATTGAACCCATCGAGTTAACACTTACCACATATATTACTGAACATGATCCCTGCCAAAGGATAGCCCGGGCTTGTGAGCTCAAGACTTTCACATTACACTTACAGTTTGCCCTTAATACAAGTCTCATGCAGTAAGAACAGTTCCACATTATAGATGGCCCCGCCACCTGGTGGTATTCGAAACAGTAGATCTCAGGTCTTTCAGCCCACTGCTTTGTTGACCGCGGATATTTTTCGCCCATGGGCAATCTGATCAATACAGCCACCTACAGATGACATAAACGGGCCTCTAAACTCGAAACAAACCCGGTTCCGTTATCCATTCATAAAAAGACCCTAACATGTTTTTTTTACAATTAACACACTTCATTCGCGATAAAAGGATATTGTTTTGCAGCCACGCACAAATCGTTCATCACAAACAAACAGGGGTTATTTAATTCGCACGCACGAAGAGATATTGTCTTTGTTGAAGGGTCAATAATCAAAATAACGGATGAGGCGTAACTCGTCTAAGCCTTCAAGGCGCTTGTGGAGGTGAACATCAATCGCTTCGTATGATATCGGTCTCTGCGCCGCAGGTTCAATCGACAAACGGTCACCGACATGCGTTGATGCTCCAAAATTAAGTGATACTATGGGACAGTGTTTGGTTTTCTCTATATCTGGTGACAAGATCACCATACACACCTGCCTCTTCCTAAACATTGGACATCATCTTAATGGAACGTTGCACTAACCTCGAAATTCAGCACGATATTTTGGAGATTGGTGTTCTCCGAAAAGAGCTGCCAGACACTGCGCTCCAGCATAGTATAAGACATTGGCATTTCCTTGGTCCAGAAGGTATAAAGTTTACCGAACAACTATGGTGCCAAAGAGAGGCGCAAAGTATGTAGGTAACCGAGCGCGCAACGGCGGGGTGCATTTGTACATCATCATCATCATTGTCAGCCGTAAGAACCGCGTACTCGTCGTACAGTAGTTGTAGTTGCCGCAGTTTCGTTCACCGATGATTTGGGAGGGGGAGTAGGTAGCTGCGCATGGCAGGCGGGAGATGATAAATTGTCAGTGGGCTGTCAATTGGGGGGATTGGGAAGGGAGCTATGCAGTGAAGACAATAGCTTGGATGCACGAGCGCCATTGAGGGCGCGACTGGGCCATATCTGACAATGTCTCTAGCCATTGATGTGGCCCGTCTCGGGTTCCCCATCCAGGAAGACGGCAGGGACCAGCGCAGCTGAGTTTGCTGGTAATGGCTTTCATACTTCGCTGACAAGTCATTGTTTGGCCGCCTCTGACTCTCTTCCACCCTTCACATGGTTGGGCGAAAAGAGCCCTTCGAGGAAGTCGGTCGACTGGCATACGCATCATGTGGCCGAACCAGCGCAACCTATGCAGTGTGATCAGTTCACCTACCGAGGGTGAGTTATTTCTCCCGAATACCATTCGAAGTACTTCAGCATTGGTGATCCGGTATTCCCATCAGATTCGGTTAATGCATTTGTACACAAATATTTTTATGAACAATCAAGGATACTAGGCTATTTGGTTAGTTATACTACAGTCACGTGGGTAAGACACTGGAGAACAAAACCAGCTGGATGATCTCAATTCATTTTTACCCATGGGATTTCAATGAGTATTTGCAGGAAGAACTGACGAAATCGGAGTGACTTTGATTGCACAAACACTCGACAGAGCAGTCACGTAAATGATTACTTTAGTCTCATTTTTCCTCTAGCGAGCCTTTGTCAAATTGGTACTCGTACGCTTAACATACATTTTCAGTAATAAACTGGAATGACGGTAATCTGAGCAGATCTCAACTGAGATTTCATCCTATCAATAAAGCCAATCAACGCTGAATAGCCCATGCACATCACGTGGTCACGTATTGATTGGCTCTTCGAGTGACGACTGCTCAGTTCTACGCAAGAAATTATTCTCCATCTGAGCCAATTATGAAATGATGGTAATATTTGTTAATGTTCAATGGAGATTCGGACCTCACGGTGAATTTTTGATCGAGCCGGATTAAAAGGATCAAGTAATTCCTGTGTAATAGTAGTACTTTGATCTAGGATCATAAAAATTCATACAAAACTCAATTGTTTCAAATTGCGGGATATTGGCGAAACACAGCCTTATCAGTCTGTTACCAAAATTTAAATTTTTAACGCATAACGGGTACACGGATACAAGCATCCGCTTTAACAGGCAAGAATTTGCGTGATAAGGGGGACTTTTTTTGTTGAGTAGGGGACGAGGTGAACAGTCTCGCTCATACGCCCGTTGGTTTCAAGTTTTCGGATTTGTGACATGAATACTATTCACCAGTCATCTTAAGCAGCCACTTTTCTTCAATCTAGTAGTTAATCCAGTGGCGGTCGATCTCTTTACCGAGCTCGACAACCATTCGGGATGAACGGTCGGGTGGGTAAACGCACTGACGATATCTTTTTGGATGACGGCGAAACATTTACAGGTCAACTGCCAGGTTCGGCGAATAGACCAACAGGTCAACTACCAACGAATGCACTCGAATCGCATTCAGAACTCTATTGCGACCCATCCGATCGGCACGGGTCTGATGAATGGTATCGATTATGTCCCTTCCACAAGAGTTCGATCACCTCAAGAGATTCCATTCCACCCGGCAACCTTACCAACCTGAAGCATCGCTTTTTTCGACACTTTACTAGCCATGTACGTCTTCCCATGCAGCCATATTTGCGATAAATCGCGTGCCCTGCAACCTCGAGGTAGGTTGTCCCTTAGAAAGCCCTCACAACTGTGTCATTGATTGTTAGGTTGGAGCGAGTCTTCTCCCTCCGTAATTCAGAGTTTGAATAGAAGTGAGAAGAACATGGTGGCTGATAGTCCACAGATGTTCAGTCGACCAACCAAATGACAGGAAGAGAAACGCAAACGCAGCACGCAAGAACAAACGGGCCAATCAGAAGCAAACCCTGAAACGAAGACATCCAACGGACTAATCGATTGCAAGAGTCGGACCACAACGCAACACGAATTCCAGGTGGACCAATTAAACTACGTGCAGGCCAGTCTTCAGACAACCGATAACGTAAGACGGATACGCATTGCAAGCAGTGTGATGCAGTTACTTCGTGTTTTGACATCAGTCTGAAACACCGTCACCGAAATGAGTGAGATCGTATCAGCAGTCTCCATTCTGGAAATGACGTTCTGTTGTACAAATCAAGTCATATCCACCTGGAAGTTTAGGTTGATCCACTCTCTGTGCGCAACTTCCACACTAAAACGTTGTGTTTACTGTTGATAAGCTTCCCACTCAAACTCCGAACAAGAAAGGAAAATCGATATACAGAAACCCAGATTCAAGGTGAAGCGAACGGTCAAACTTACGGGTCATAGAGAGCTGTGACGACTACTATTTCCATGAAGACTTTATTGGAAGGCTGTTGCAAGAATACCCTCCGGAACTTAACACTACGGAACACCTACTTGGGTTTTGTCTGCAGCGAGCTTTTGATCACGCCACTGACGAACATATGCTGAGATAAGCGTACTTGACAGAATATTTGTCGACCAACTACGTTGTTGCTGGGATTTGCTAGCTAAGTAACCAATTAAAAACACATCCAACGTTTACCGGGCTAGACTGTAAGAATGCAAGCTCTGGGCGGGAAAGTACAAACAGCAACAGTCTCATAAGGTCGCCTTTGCGACTGCCGACAAAACGTGAAACGAAGTGCTTAAAATAAATTCTAATAAATTTGAGTATTCGAAAGCGGATGTGCATGTGTTAATGTCGTCGAGATGCAGCATCTACCGGTTAGCAATCCAAATGCAGTCACGCACACGGTCTCTTCCCTTACTACTCCTCAGATGAATGGTTGGGTCTTTGAAGGGACCCTTTTTACACCACTTTTGGACAACTGCACACAAAATCCAGCAAATTCAGTGGAATCCAGCATCCCAAACTGGTAAGTCACGGCTCACCATCGTGGAATTTCTCTTCCATTTTGGGAAACAATTCACCAACCGAAACCACCAATTGTTTCAGCAAGTATAGTGTGAAGTGTAGTATAGCAAGTAGTATAGTATAGTAAAGTAGCAAGTAGTATGGTATATCAAGTATGGTATGAAGTATCCACGATCCTCTATGCAGCGTCCCAACCCAAACGCCTACGTGACATTGCTACTGACACGGGTGGTATGGGCCTAGAAGCTGCCAGCTCTGTAACTTTCCAGCGGAACTTTGTCGATTGGGACCATAGTACAGTGGCTCAAGCAAGAGCATACTTCGAAGAGATTTCGTAAACAGGAGTTAGCTGTGCCAAGAAACATAAGTCATTTGGGAAAACGCCACCCCCCCCCGCCCGAAAAAGTCCAAGGTTTGTCAAACACAGATTAATGGATTTTGCACTCAGTAAAAACCATTCAGAGATCAGTGTCTATATTTTTTCACGTGTGGACATGAACTTTGTGGTTTAGACAAAGTTGCTTCCCTTTGGAGAAATTGCACACAAAAAACTATTCCACTTAAAGCTTCATTCGATGTTCTTGATGCACGATGCTATTCGCATATACAACTGCGGGTCTTCTTTTTTGGACTGTTCGATTTACTAGGTAAGTAAGTAAGTCAGTCAGAGGTCACTCATACAATATAATGCGGTTTGGTGATGTATTCATCTTCCTCACAGACTGTTGGATGAATGTTAATGGTTGTTCAGCTGTAACACCCTTTCGGTGCCTAACTGTCATGCTACCCAAAAGAAGCACGAGGGCTGGGATACTGCCAGGTTGCCCAAGCCTACACAGGGGAAGTCGAGAGGCACTGGTCCTGTTTGAACCATGGACATTCAGGTCAATAAAATTCGCGTTCTAACAACTGAGCCAGCTCGAACACGATTCATTGTGCAAAAGTGGAGCATTTGCTTGGATGTGAGCAATGAACGGTTTGACTCAATGAATATCCAGGAAAGTTGAAGAAGACGCGTTCAGGAGAAGACGGATGTCCAGTTTTTGTAAATAAGATGCAAATGAGAGTTTTGCTTCCCTGTCCAATAGTCTGTAACTGGTCAGTTGGCATTTTCTAATAAATAACTCCGCAACAAAGGCCTTCTTCCTTTCACGGGTAGTTTCCATCCCTCAATAGAACTCCGAGCATGGAAAGACCAGCCACGAAAAACTTATCTTCCTTGTGGAAATGGTCCACTACAGTAAAACTGTCGTAAAAGGCTTAACCTAATCAATCTTCCTGAATCATAAAAATCGTGGACCACGATAGCTAACCCCTTGACTAATCAGACGAGAAAATTTTGTCTGGATGGGGTTGGGTTGCCTAGCTTTGACAGCTTCTCTAAAGGCTACTCCCCAAACCAGAGCTTATCGGTCTTGTGGCCATTGACACTTACAGCACTAGAAATCTTACTATCAGCAGTATGTTGCTCGAGATGGCTCGGTGGTTGAGTTGTGAACTCACTGATCCCAAGGTCCGTGGTTCGAACACAACACCGGCATCTCGACTGCTCCCGTCACAGCTTGGGCGGGCAGTATCTCAGCCCTCGTGCTCCCTTTGGGCAGCATGGCAGCTAGACATTAAAAGAATGTTAGAGCTGTATTATTACTATTATTATTATTTTGTTGTCATGACTGGTGCATATCATGGTGATCGATTGATGGGAATCACACATGCGACGAGAATGAGTGAACGAACCCGTGCGTAAAAACTAATCGGAAAAAACAGCTTGAAAAGTTATACGTCCCGCAATTATGCCATCATGATTACCCATCATATCAACAGTGAGACTATGAGGAATACAAAGCAAAGTCGAAGGACACAGCTGAGCAGTCTTTTACTTGACAGGTGGATAGTGGCAATACTTTTGACGGGCCTCAAAATACTACTTCATTTGACACACGTAGTTGGGCGATGGATACAAAAGTCAAAATCCCGACCCACCAAATAGAGAAAAGACAAACAGAAAAAGAATTCAAGATATCCAGAGAGCATTTCTTCCAATGACGAACTACGATGTTATGCATACCTACACGAAAAGAGGTCAAACTCACGTGGAATTGCATTCATACACCGGGTGTCCCGTAGGGGCAACGAGCCGCTTTTGACGGTTGTAGGGCACACAGGCACCCGCCCGCGCGGCGCAGCAACCCTTTCGTCTGTTTTCCCAACATGGTTCAAGTGGTCCGCTAGTGGCAGTGCCATAGGAAGGAAGATTGCTACAAGATTCAGACGCTGGAATTGTGCATTCACAGCCGACAGGAGATTTCGTAGGAAGGAATACACCAGGACCGGGACGATAATCGGGTATGGGTTGGAAGTCAACTGGCGGGCCTGTTGACGACAGACACATGGAAGACGGACGCATTTAGAAAAAACGCGCACAAGTACGTGATGGGCATCGATGTACAGATACACGCCGTCGGGCGAAAGCAGTAGAGCTATGGTTTCCAAAAACGAGATTCTTCCTTAGACAGAAATTCTAAGGTCTTAACTTCTATAATACTGTGAATTCGTTTCAGCTAGTGTCTCTTGTTTGACAGTACAATGGACTTTCTGGCTGAAATAGCATCCAGTGGTGATTGTCTAATAAACACATTTTGAAAGTGACAGGTGCAAGGGTTGCAGCCCGATGCTTGATGGTCACTTAATGTTATCTGACAGAGCATTCACGTTCTTTTTTTCGGAAATCAAAGAATGGACAGCGCAACCGGTAATAGTAAGAGAGGTATAAATATTATAAACATGATAATCAGATCGGGGATTTCAGGAGATATACCAAAGTAGAAAGGTAGTCACCATTTGGAGGAGCGCTTTACGACGATTCGCTATATTAGAGGGGCTGGCAACCGGATAACGGGACTACGAAACGTCGAGTATGTATGTACAAAATACTGCCTAAAATAATGGCAAAATAGGTTCAGCAAGTAAACAATTCAACCGCATGTTGCAAACGGAACAGACGCTGCCGGAAACACCGAGTTGTTTGGTGGGCATACCTGTTCAAAAGGTACTTCAAGTGGTCGGCGGATGTAGGATGGTTCTGATCGCTTACAAACTGGCCTGCAGATTAGGTCTGTTTGGAGAAGCGATTGCACAGGACAACTGCAGCTTTCTATCTAGAGAAACAACACTAATCGCAAACTTCATCCGCGGTCGATGAAGGACGGTTATGGATAACGAGTTAAGGATCACCAAACTGCGTGTAGCGTCCCAGCCATGAATTGAATGAACTTGCAAAAGTAAACCCATGTACGGCCTCTAAACAGAGGTTACCCCCGCCATTTGATGAGTTCAACCAAGCAAGCGGGAATGCTCAAGAAAGCAGTGAAACACTTTGCACAATGTGAAACTCATAAGAAGGGCGGAAAAATTCCTATCCAAAGTAAATGAAACTAGAGTGATATCCCAAAATCTCATCTAAGTCAATTTCGAGCGTTTTTATGCTGACTACCTTAGAACCTAGTCCACGCCTGATAACATTTTGAGCACACGACCAACTTTGTTGCAGATGTCTACCGGCTTGTACTCACTCTCGGTCATGACTAGTCAACCCTGGTAATGCACCGGTTTAGAAAAGCAAAAAAGGTGAAAACGTAGCTTGCTAGAGGTCTAACCATGTACGCCGTAGGCAATGTCACAGAATCTGAATAAAAATACACCGTATAAATGCGTCTATAAAAGGAGCTGGAATACTTGTTTCCAGACAAAAACCAATTCGATTCAGATCAAACGTTGTCTCCAAATGATCGCTATGCTCGATTGTTGCAGCTACACTCTCAACGTGGCTAATCCACGACCTCGCTAGTTCGGATATTCAACAATCCACATTCTGTTTTCCAGGCTTTTTACATTTTATCATGCCATCGAAATGAACTACTTCCGGTCTGCCCGACAGCTAAAATTCGATGAGGCCATTAATGTCTTGGGGTTAAACCAGCTCAGTTTGCTTATGCGTGGCTAGAGGTGGGTCCCTTCAAAGTTTCACCTTGTTCCTTAGGGCATAGACTAGAAAAAATCTGATTGTACGGCAGTGCAGCAACAGCAGTCAACACAGATGATGACGACAACAATGATGATGATGATGGCGAGCACGATATAACTATGATATGCTACGCCATACCGTTTGCGTGTTACGGGATCGTACTGATAACGAGAATAATGCACATTGGCGACTAGACCGTATAAAGCATAGACCATTCCACTAGAAAGTGGAAAGTGTCTCGAGGAGGGAAATGTAGTCACAAAATTAGATAACTTAATTAGTTTTGCCAATTGTACAAAATGGTTACTCTAGGTATTTAACAGTGGTTTATGGCGGACCACTGACGCATGCAGCTGATGATTACACGCGTGCCGAGTTGAACAACGGGGAAGTTTGCATACGGGTTCATCAGTCTACCAATCATTCATATCAAGTGCCATGTCCCCTGTTTCCGAACGGACCTATCTTCTTCATCAGTTTCCCCCGCAGAACAATTCTTCGTTCGAGCTCAATTCCACCCGGTGTTTCTCCAACCTCTTACAATTTTCGAATTTTCCAGATCAAGATTAACGCTCATATGTGGCTCTCACCAGTTGCGTGATAAAATCGGAAGCCATGTATCCCATGTGTTTGGGTACTTTTTCATGTTTCATGCTCTCAACGAATTCCATTTTCATCATTCTTACGGAAGGCCTTCGGTGCCCGGGAAACCAATTTTGTGATTGCTAAAAAAAAGACTTCTTCACAACCAACAGCAAATAATTTCCGGAGACAACTGTGCATGACACTAGTGCCACCGATATCATTCTTCCTGTCCTGCACTGCCATTCCCAGGATGGTACTTTCGAAGACTAGCCACATAGAAGGTCGGGTTTATACAAACATTTCGTTGGGATTAAACGTTATCTTTCCCAGAGAATTTTGGTATTTACTTATGAAATTTACTGAACGCTGCGGAAACTTCAACCCTTGCCGATCAGCACCATAACGGTCTTACATACCTGCTCACCTTCGGTACGTTCTATTCTGTTGTTGTATTGGACAGTTCAACAGCTGTCAGTCTTTCCATGTTCAAATCTCATTGCTGAGACGAAGACTGCTTGCCTCCAATCATGCTGTGCGAAATGTTCATCCAACAAATCCCTGGTTTTCATCGTTTCCATCGTTTTTTAAAGGACAGACGTTCACTTACTGCTGGTATTAGTCACCGCTTCCAAGGTTCTGCTTCCAATGAGCTGTCGCACGTTATCTTGCCGGAAGCTGGTCACATGCGTTCATACGTACACTTATGCTTTGCACAGACTGTCACGTTGCTGTTATTTTCGTAATGACCTGGCCCCATAACTAAGGCCAACAGCTCCGTTCACCTTGCAAAATCTTTAGCGGTAACTTCTGTGCGTCCATCCGCGCAAACAGCTTCGACGAACTCTAAATAAACTCCCAAACCGTGCAAGTGACAAGGGCCATGAATATGGACCTTCATTCGGGCTCAGTAGTAGTAGACGGCTTCATTTCCTTTCTCACTTCCGGAAGACCACCCATCTGCATTGTTCAAGGACGGTGGCGAGGTCCTCAGTCAACCGCTGTGTCATTTGATAGAGTCTGCCTGGAAGATTGCTCAAAGCGATTGTGGTAACCACAGATGTCAGGCTGGCTCCCACCGCCGTTTGCTCAGCTGTAACACCCTCCCGGTGCCTAGCTGCCATGCCACCCGAAGAAGGTACGAGGGCTGAAATACTGCCAGGTTACCCAAACCTGGACAAGGGAATTCGATATGCAGATGTTGAGTTCAAACCACAGACCTTCCGGTCAGGAAGTTTGCGCTCTAACCACTTGAGCCATCTCGCCCTGCCTTGGCAAGGCTAGAGGCGTAGATGTTTCTTCCTCATCTTGCGACAGCAGGCAAAAACTTGAATCGTGAGCAGTAAGCAGGATTTTTATCGGCTAGAGGCTTGATCAGCCGTCCGATGTAAAAGCAGCCGCAAGCGTAGGGATGATGCGCAATCTTGGAGCTCCTTGACTTCAGTGGCGTATTCGACTCCGTTGAACAGCCAGTTTTTCTAACTAGTTAATAGGGGACGTCATAAGTTTGTGAACATACTCCGTCCACTAAAGCTCTGGGCATCCATGAGTCTTCCATCGTACACAAACCGGATTTCGTTTCATCAATTCCGCCGATGCTAAAATACTGACGCAAATGCTACAGCCTTCAAATTTGCGGTATTCAAATCGGGAGTATGAAGACGGAATCGTGACGACGAACAGATAACGCAGGCGGCATTAGCCGACTTAACCGGCACTACATCGATCTTCGAAGTGCTCTTTTCGCCTGCCAAGTACAGGAATGTGCTTCGAAATGCGCATTACCTGAATAGGTCCACCAGAATCGAAGGAGAATAACTGGACGTTGTAGAGCTTTACACACCTTGATGGTTCGATTAGCTCTGACAGAATTGCAAGAATCCTGACGGCAGGAAACTTGCACTACTCGCGACGTCTAAAATACATGCCATTTGGTCACAAGGGTTACCTGCATCAGGTAAAGTACAGGCCATGTAGTTGTGTGGATACGAGGTGCCAACTTACGGAGGGTGTCATGGTGCGTAATCAGGCGTTTGGTCATCGATCTCGCAGTCGTTGTTGGTGATATCGACGTACCGCAACAATGTGAAAAGAATACGAGTTTCTAGTTGCACAGCAAAGATTTCACCCGCAAAGGACATCTGACGCCATAAAATTCAGCGGCTCGGCCATGTTTTACGGGTACCTTCACGACAAGCTAGATCGGTGTTTTTGAGAATAACACGAATTGCGACGCGTATCCGACTTGGAAGAAGGGTACGGAAGAGAACAAAAATTCTGAAGAGGTTGGTGTGGTCCGAATTTAAGTAATGGGATCCTCGGACCCTCCCTGTGTCTGACAACAGGAATTGCAAAATACAGTGGTCAACTGATACCTGTCGTACCTGTGCTGTCGGTTTCTGAATGAGTATGTGTACGGGGCATTTGGAGCGGGATCTCAGGACTTGTGGAAAACACTGTGGATATAAGGCATTGAAACCTGAGTGACATTTACGTTGCTACCAATAAGGACGTCACAATCTGTCAGGAAGGTCAGATTCCTGAAAATAGTCTCACTGCCCGGAACTTACTGAGAGCTTCAAACTTCACCAAAACCTCAATAGGAAAGTCGAAAAACATTCAGGCCAGTCCATCAACCAATCAATCAATTCAGCAAGAGTCGGGATCAATTAAAAGAGCCACTCAAAATTAGCGCGAGGCCCCTCGCTTGTTAGCAATACAGATGTTTCGTTCTTATTGGCGAGTCTTATTCTGATACCAAGGCTGTGGTGCGGAAGACCGCAGTAACATATAACACAACTATTCCTAGATAGGAAGCCTTGATGGAACAGAAGCAACCCAAAATCTTACGTCCTCCGGAATTTTCCACGAAGGTTTCCTCTGGACGAGCCAAATTCTGCTGGAAAACAGGCCTTGATAGTCAGATGGAACTAAGGCGGCGTTCTAAAATCCGGTGAGGCATAAATATCTGGCCCACAAGACTGTGGTCATGCCGAATGCACTCGGGTTTGGTCTGTTTCTGGAATATCTTCTGACAAGTGCAACAATGAGGTTGCAAAAAAATTGGCTGACAAAGCTATCAGACTGATATATTGGAATGACAAATACTAAGTTTTCATAGTGCCCTGTAGCTTCTCCTCCAGCACCATTATTGACGGCACAAAATCACTGTTTAACACAGATGCTTCACTACCGTGCAACCATGACTCATTTGAAAGCCCTATTGTGAGGAAAAGAATAAAGTGGACGGGGAAGGGACTTAGTGATAGCCTAACACAATCATTCCGAGGTGACCACACCTCCAGAAACCCATTTAGACAATCTGGATAGAAACTGACAACAAGGACGCCACTGACAAGGAGTAGCGGCCATATCTTACAGCACCTTCAACGAGGCGCAGTGGGGATCACGAGTACCCATCCTGGAAGGCGAATAGCACTGACAACATTCGAACGCTTCGTAATCCCTTTCAAAACACTCTGGCAGGGTAGGAGTTGGCAACCTCTCTGCTTCCGCTACTCCGAACTGGGCACGGAAAACAGTACCCTCTTTGGAAAACGATGGTTCGCCATACGAAATACATGGCCCAACAAGCGCAGCTTCTAGTGCTGGACACATTCTTCAATGATAGTTCCCGTTGCACAACCAAAAACTCGCTTTCTAATTGCCCCGTTACGGACAAGCCGACACCAACCCACACGAGCTATGGTTGAGACAACCATTGTCGAACACCTGAAGACGTCTCAGTTCCGCTGCTCGAATAGGCCGAGTCTCACAGCCATACAACAAGACAGCCCGTCCTGTAGCTTGATACACAGGTCCCTTGAGATTCAGGGATACATCACTCTGACGCCATAGGTGTCTCAAATTAGCAAAAGCGACCCTTGCAGATCCGTGTATTGGCCTTATTTGTCACACTAGAACAACTTCCAAAGCAAAACGCTCCGCAATTTCGAGTACTTCTCTTGGGATCAAATGGTGCGTGCAGTGACAACGGGTTCAGGAAAATGACTTTATAATTTGTAGGTGCAAAGCGCATGCCAATGACAGAATGACTTTGATCAGTTCATCAAAACACCTGCGTCTTCTCCTCTTCAAATATGGAAACGACACGTACGCATATTCCAGACAGACTTTTCGTCACCAGCCATTTGAACACCAGCGTTCGTCTCAGTATCTCGGCAACCACGAAATTGAATAAGAACGGAGAGAGTGGGCACCCCTGGCGAACGCCTCTTGGCGCTTTTGGAGAGCTCTTCACATTCTCTCACAGGTCCAGAAGTCTGACTACACAAAGAGCTCATTATGTTCACATACAACTGGAACATTCCTTAGTGGGAAAAAGTTTCAAGGAGCCGAATGAACCATGGAAATCCAGGAATACTAAAATTGTGTCCTTCATATGTATGCCGTTGTTCTAGCACTTGATGTAATTTGAAGTTTGGTCGACAAAATCCGGCTTGCTGCTCTCGGGTCAGTGTTTCACGAGCCACCACAAGAAGACAGAGAAGTGACGCCAAGAGTGCCGTTAAGACTGGGATCAAACTAATCCCTGTGGTTGTCATGCTCACTATTGACCCTTCTTTTGAAAATGGGCGCCAACGCCAATCCTCTCTGGTTGTGTGGACACACCTTTTCACAAATGCAGGAAAACAGACCGGTCAAGCGCTGACTGAGGACTTATACCTCAGCTTTGAGCAATGTCGGTGGGAGGTTATCCGAACCAAAAGCTCCGTGGCACTCGAGAGAACACATGCAGTCATTAATGTTAAAGAACGTAGGGGTTCGTGGTTCACCATCCAGGGTTCTGCTTCAGCTGTATGAGCGGTCCGTCACGAGGATCGCTGTTCGAACTGCTCCGCTCTGCGGTTGTGGCGTTCTTCTTTATTCAAGATGGTCGCACCACTTTGGTCATTGATGATTTCGCTCACAGACGTCAGCAGTTGTCTGTTTTCGCTTACCCGCCCTGCTGTATGCGACAAGTGAAGCAACTCGGCTGATGGCACCAAACGTCGGCCAATGTGGTAAGCGAATATTGTTAGTTGTGTCATGGTTGCACATGGGATGGGATACTGCCATGGCGCCCAGACCCAAACAGGAAGACGATTAGGGTTCTCAAACAAAGCCTCTGACTCAAAAGCGCGACCACAAGGCGGTCGTGTTTGGCAAGGAATGCAGGTGCATTATCAATATCATGGAACAAGACGAAATGCATGTTCCTACTCTCAGCGTGGGGACTAGGAGACTGTGTTGGCCAGACCTCTAACGATTGACCAAACTTGTATGAGAGACTATGTGAGTGCCGCGCGTACGCTCCCACCCCCTTCCAGTAAAGCTGAATGGGTCGCGGAGGTACAAACCGTCACAGAATGGTAAGCCCGTCTCTTCACAACGGAGTTTCTCCTTCGTACCGGAAGCTACCAGGATGTCCGCCAGTCTCCTTGAATTAATTGGGCAACCCGAATAAAGCAAAGCCGTTTGTGACGGTCGAACAAAGGCCGATACACTGAACTTTAAATCATCAGCCAGAATACCGTTTTTACCCGCTGGATTTTTGTTTCCGAGCAACACTGCTGTTCGTGATAATTCTCCAGGACTCAGCAGTCCAAAGTTTGATAACTAAGATTTGCACCGGCGACTGAATGGAGCGCTTTTATTCGGTTCACTTCCTTAGCATTTCATCGGAATCATTGTCCGTTAACCCTGAGCATTGTGAATGATGGGTTTTTGGACAAAGATTTCAACTGAAGGCCGACGAATAAAGCTGATTTCCCAGAAGCCATTGGACCATAGGAAGGATGGTATTACTTGATAAGGAGAGGGAGTACGAAGAGGCAAATCATTTGTGGTAGCTTGCTTGATTGTTGAAGAGAGCGAATGGACGTGACGGCACGTGGTGATGGTCGGTGTCTTCAGATTTTTTCACCGTCTGAGTCAAATATATGCGGTTTATTGGCACCGTCACAGTGAGATTATGTCAATGTTCTGACCTCCACCAATACGTTTTTTCGCGAGAAAATTCTGTGGAACCTAAATTCCTGAGGACCAAATTGCCATACAAAGCCGAAACTCACGCACAGAGGACCAGCAGGTGGTGTTAGCCGGATCTACTTCCATGAACAAAACTGCTGTGTTTAAGGGGTATCTAAACAGGGGGATACAACAATGTGCAGCAAGAATTTCAAGGCTATTCAAGGCCATCTTTGAGGAAGGGTAGAGCCAAACCGTGAAGCAAGCACTTTGCCGCGCCTGAAACTTGCGATCGAGTCTCAAGGGAAAATAAGGAACTCTATAGTTAAGGGAAAAGGCTAATTCAACTGTGAGCAGAAGCTACCAACCCAGTGATCGAAGATTACAGCTTGGTATCACGTTCGTCAAACGGATGGATCTGATAAAATTGAGTAATTGCGAAAATTTCCTGAGATTCTAGAAGATCTGTTATTATCGTATGCAGGTATAAGGCAGGTACAAGGTATCTTTCATTGTCACCCGTAAATGAATGTCTTCCTGTTTCTTCAACAAAAGGTATACCATGCAAATATCCATGGCTTGAATGCGATGGCAACATGAATAAAGCAGGTTCGGACCTCAGGACTTCAAACAAGGAAAAGCCACAAGTGACCTTGCAGCTCACGAACCGATGAATAAGCCTCAAACCGGAAATTTTTCACCATACGTAGAAAGACATAGGTAGGCAAACTCAAAACAAACAACGTAGCGATATAAGAGTTGCAGAAACTTACACTCAGTATCAACATTATTCTCCACGGTTATTGGAGCTTCGTCAGGATAGACTGAGTTCAACTTCTGTTGAAAGACTTGGAGCGCTGAAGTCAGCGTTTGCTTATCCTTTTGTGATAGACGAATCCGCTTGCAGGATACAGATGTGAAATCAGATTCACTCGCACTCCGTTTTAACGGGACGGCACAAAGGGTTGTCCCAGTCGGATCGTAAGAAATTTGCGTCTCCAACCTGAATAGGCCAGGTGGTTTGTATGGCCGAGGCGAGTCGGTGGATTGCTGCAGTAAATCGGTGAACTTCATCAGTAAGTCCAGCGCGGACAGAGTTGAGCAAGGTACTGCTTCCATCAGACGGTCCATAACTTCCGTAATTTGTGCTCGTTTGCTCGTTTGTGTCTCGGACTAGGTGGACATAGTTCGCTACCAATGGAAACTTACCGGAAGCATTCCAACTTCAGCACCACATGCGTCCATGAAGTTTCGAATAGCTTCTTTACACCCGTTTAGATTAGATTCCGGTTCCCAAGTATTAAATATTGGAGGCCAACCCTCCCATTTTACAAAATAGTACACAATGCCCTTCAGAAAAGTCAGGATTTACCACTCGGGTTACTTTATTAACTGAACGACCGCGGATCGATTCGACAACAAATTCGCACCCCTCTGGGAAGCAGAGATCCCGGCTTCCATACACTAATGCTCATAAATCAGATCAGCTGATTAACCTACGCTGGTCGAGAAGATCATAAACCTTTTTAACCGGAAGTTTCAAAAGACATGCTTCTAAAAGGCCCCAGCATGCGTCGTCGGAAATTTTTATATTTTCTTTCTTGGACACCTCATAAAGATTACGTCCACAGTCAGGGGCATAAATTGAAGCCTCGGAAAAACTAAATTGCGAGGCCATCCCAAGCGGACCATAAGTAGCGCTGCAGTCGTTATCGCCTTTGTTTAGTTCAAGAACAGGAGACGCGTTCACGGACTGGTACACAGGATCACGGATTTCACGGATTCACGGATTGATACACAGGATCGAGGCTTTTGCCCAAGTTTCCCGGGTCGGTTTTGTTCTTGTCGGTCAGTGGCTGTCGTTC